ACAGCAGTTAATAATCTATAGCTCCTCCTTGTTTAAGAGCAATATCAAAGAGCCTTCGTGGCATACTAGAAACTAGGTTTCGAAGAGTTCCTCATCGATTGCTCTCCATGCTTCGATAATCGCCCGGTTCAGCTCTTCTATTCCCTGGAACTGACGGTTATTCGCAGAAACCTGTCTGACTATTATGCCCCAGATATGTTCCATTGGATTGAGATCGGGACTGCAGGCTGGCCGTGGCAGGATGCATATTTATTGGCATTGCAGCCACTCATCCGTTGCACTTCTCACACGAATGGAGGCGTTGTCTTGTTGAAAGACATAGTTGAGATGACGCCGATGGCATAGAAAGGGTACTAGATGATGCTCCAAGACGTTCTGGTAATCCTTGCAATACATACTGCAGCTCACGATAGGTAGATCCAACACGACACCATTGCAGTATGCACCCAACACAATAGACTTCTTCTCCGAAATTGCGACGGCTGAAGTAGACTGGTTCCTTCCTCAAGTCGCGTCAGTACCGCTTATTTGCGTCAGATTGAATTTCTTTCCACCTGAAAAGACGACCTGAATAGGAATTATTCAGTTCTATGGTGAGATTTTGATGCAGTTCTACCTTTGCCCAATCTCTTCTTAGGTTCATCTTTGCAAATCCGAGTCGAGTCTTTCTGTGGCGATCGGTGATTCGTGGCACCTTCTCCATTGCTTGCCTGGTGATGTTCTCGCACCTTCTCACTGCTCTCCAGACTGTAGTCTTCGACACAGAGAGGTTTAATTGCGATCGGATCTGGTTCAAGGAGGACGTACTGTTGGAAACAGTCCTCAGAATCTTCCGCTCGTCACGTTTAGTAAACTTTCATGGGTGTCCACAGTCGGTGTTATATCTAACGACATGATTACTCTCTAGAAATCTCCGAATGGACCAAGGGGATCTCTCTATTTGCCTGGAGATGGCTCGAGTGCGGAGCCCACCTTCATGATGAGCCTTCTCATCAGAGGAAAGCAGATGACCACGAGCCATGTTGACAGTCAGGTTTAGAAATGCCTTTGCTACACATGTTTACCTTTACAAGTATTCACTTTCTCGGGGTGACCTTATAATTATGAAACGGTGCAAAACCCGATAAACTGTCCTAAAAAAATTCAGAAAAATGCAGCTGCGGCTAGAAAAGGGATACCTAGGTTATTCGTGCTGGGGAATCCGTTTATGATGCTAAAAAAATCCTTAATGATTGCTTTTCTTGAAAGTGCAAAATTTGAGGGTGACTTATAATTATGAAACGCACTGTACTGAAGAGGGCACCCAGTCCTTAAAAACACGTCACTCTTGCTGCTTCTACGAAGTCGCTGAGTGAAGCTCGGACTGGAGATTCTCAGAAAGCTCTGCGTGCCGTCGTCGATGAGTAGTCAAAGCACCTTTCACCTACAATTAGTAAATCAGATGGCTATATCAGGCGATCGTGCGTTCATTTTGTCGGTGCATTGCATTGTGAATAGTTCACATAAGTTTACTACGTATCAAACTAAAATGCGGTTTCTGTACGACAATCAGTTTGTGAGCTAAGGAACAAAGCGTAGGGTAGGTAATTGGTGATGAAGATGTGAACTCAAACAGAAAATCGTAAGGGATTTTCATATCATCCGTTAGTATCGAGATGGGCTTCAACTATAATATTAAGGTCATGAAAGACTTTTTGTGTATTGCAAAGGTAATTCTCTGAAAGCGAATAGGGGAGATATCAGCAGCTGATACGAATTTGCGATCTAGAGACCAGTAGCTACTTCCTACGAAGTATGACGAATAGCTTTGTTTTCTACGAAGAATTTTGATGGAGTGCTCATAAATATCATATCAAAGGGCAACAAAACTATGCTCCACGCAAGACATGCTCCACATAGCAATTCCTGAGGACCAAGTTTACAGACTCAAAAGTCTCCATCTTCCAGAATTGGCTCTTAATCAAGCCCACCTATCCTTGCTATATGTAAACGCAAATGTCCGTCTGTTTGTTTGACTGTTTGTCTTTTTATCCGTTTGCTGCCATTTTATAAGGCGCCCTTTGGAAATGGAACTGAGCAGCTGGGATCAGTAAAAGAAAGTGGGATCACCAAAAAGCTATAAATCCTGTTCTCTTGGGGGCTAGAGTGTTCAAATTTGGAAGGGATACAGGCAGCAAGGAGCTAATATTAGGTAGCATGTGGAGACTCCACCCACTGG